AGGGCCGCGGCCCCCCCAGCCCCCCTCAGCCCCCCGACGGGCTCCGGCAGGTCTCGAGGAGCTGCGGAGCCTCTGTGAAGGGTCTCTTTGGCCTCGGTGAGACGGGTTTCGAGAGGTGAAAAGGCCATCTTCCGCTGCTAGAGCCGCTGCCTCTACTGGAAAATGGTGCTAAGGAAATGGGTTTGGAGTTCCTTCTGGGTTTGTGCGCGGGTTCGAAGCAGGGCAGTTTTGAAGCAATTACCCCAGTCTTCCTCACCTATCGCATTCAGTTTTGGTGCTTGCAGAAGGGGTCCCTTCTAACACATAAGCTCTTTTCTGGACAGACACCCAGTGGACACCAGCACCTGACTGGGGAGGTAGGGATCCAGACCAGTTCTGTATCATTCTTAACCATTACAAAGTCTGAAGCACCCTCCCCAAACTGCACAGAGTGTAGACGTAGGAGCCTCCTTACTTACTTCTTTGATCTGAGACACTCCTGTTGTGCTAGTGACACAGCCAATCTGAAAAATGACCTGACAAGAAAAAAACCCGCCTCGTACCAAACCATCTTGCAAACATGTGATGTATGGACCCTCCCTGCTTACGCAGAGCCTGTGCACGGAAGGAAAGCAAGAGTGGGATAGGTACTACTTTATGTGTATTAACATACAAGTCACTGACTTCAGATCTTTGGCATGTTTGCTGGGTGACTCTGTGGCACCTGTGCACAGGTAGACAGTACCTACAAATAGTGTCATACAGCTTATATGCCATAAATTAGACATCAGCAGAATTTTTTTTTCTCTCCCCCCCCCCAATTTAATTGATGAGCGTTTCTCAATTATAAGGGATAGCATATGCATGGTTATGCTGCTTGTTGAACTGAAGGCAGCATTGCACTCTGCAGTATAGGCACTTCCAAAGTCAAAACGTTTGAATCAATACTCTTGTTTGCACTATCACTGACGTTTGTCTATCAAAAGGCGCTTTTTTTTTTTTTCCTGCAAAAATACTAAGATTCAGGTTTGAAGTTAAATTCTGTTCTTATTTTTCCCAGCAGTATATACACACCTTAGTTTCAGTGAAGTTGTTCTTGATTTGTGCTGTGACTGAGAACATCACGTCTCATATAATTTCATGAATTATTAAATAATTATTGAATCATTAAATAATAATTATTAATTAATGATTTTTAACTAATATTTAATGAATTATTAACTTGCAGGGGTAGCTATTCTGGAAATCATCCCCAACTCTATAGCTTTTCTATGTCATTTCCGAAGATGATTCGAAGATGAATTTGCATCTTAGGTAGTTTTATATGCGCTGGCGTGGATCCCCAAAATAATGCAGTTGTGGTACCAATGTATTGGCTGCAAAAACTATCAAGGAACCTGAGAAAATAGAGTTATTAATTCAGAAGAAAAAATTATCTCAGAGCTCTATATTACCACAGCTGGACTGTGGATTCCCTGGAAGGACAGATCCTGGAGGTTTATCCCCATTTATTCCATGTCTCTGTGGTAGAGATATTGGAAACTATAGGAGAACCTCGGATCTCCCACGAGTTGTCCCTGGAGTGCTACTTCAGTTCTATGTCAGGGCAGAGAGTCTAGGAATGACTGGACGCTTCACGTAGGACTCGGTCTGGCAGGGCTTCCATGTTTCCTTGTCCCAGGAAGGAGCCCTGCAACCTGACAGGTCACCAGCCCCACAGAATTCAGATGGGGGTGCAACCCTCTGCGTCTGGAGCCGCTGCTGCTGCTGCTGCTGCACAGCATTGCAGTTTTGACAAGCTGGCGTTTTTAAAAGAAATAATGCTTAGTCAAAAAATGGCCAGCCAGTTGTAAGTGATGTATTTGGTATGCTTTTCCTGTAGCAAGGGAAAGAGTAAACCAGCCAGTCGGATTTAAAAACGGAGATTCACAACAAGTTCTAAATAGAATTTGTAGGGGAAGAAAAAAATCCCAACCCCGTGTGCTGTTTCTCCTCTTTCCTGTATAAGCAATAGCAAAGGGCCTGTGGGAGTTCACTGCAAAGATTCTCTGAGGGGGTTTGCATGTGTGTGAGCGCATGGACGGAGGGAAATTGAAGATAATGAATCGATAAATAGTATTTTCTGTAATTGTTCTTCAGTCCGTAGCTATTGTATCTGTGCTGGCCAGCTTCCCAAAGACAAAACGCGGCACCGCAGTTAGTGCTGAAGTGGACACATACTTGGTGTCGCTTTCCCCCCGTAGCATGTGGAAGAGATTAGATAAGCGAGGTGGCTCCTGCTGCGGGGAGTTACTCACGCTTCGGAGCGCTTGAAAGGTATGCTGCTCCTCACACCGCGGTGCCAGCGCTGCCGGGAAGGGTCTAGGAAAGCTGCTCTAGCAAAAAGCGTACCCCTGCCCGCAGCCGCACGGCTGGTTTAAGGTCAGAGCCGGTCCTCCGCTTCGGTTTATGCTGCGGCTATAGGTAGCTGCAGAGAAAACGGCAGCTGCCGCTCGTGTCTTCGCTGCAGGTTCTCGACGATCAAAGTGAGAACCAAGAAATCCGAAGTACCAGTAACTTCTCGTGACCGCGTGGAATTTTCTGTCTGCACTGCGTCTCACGCGTGTACTTTATTCGTGTTGGTTTGGGGTCTCTTTTTTTTTTTTTTTTCCATGTATTTATTTTCAGACGAAATAAAACCACTCGGAATGAAAGCCAACCTTGTAATGCGTGCACATTTTCCCGCCGGGCGCCCTGGGGCAACATTTACCGCGAAGAAACGCCGGCGGCCCCGGCGGGAGAGCGGGGG